TATTTAATTTTTATTATTATTTTCAGAATTTTTTTGATTATTTTTTTTTACAAAATATGATTCGTTTTCAAAATTTTATTTGAGAAAATATTCTTTTTTTATTTTTTCATTCAGTATTTGGTTATTTTGATTTTTTGTCATTTTATTTGGGAAAATAATAATTTTTATTTGAGAAAATATTCTTTTTTTTGCCTATTTAATACAGTATTTGCTTATTTTGATTTTTTTTTTTATTTAACTCGGGAAAATAATCTTTTTTGATTATTTATTCAATATTAGATTTTTTTTTTCTTCAATTTTTGTTGAGAAAATAATCATTTTCTCGGTTTTTTTTAAATCATTTAAATCATAATTTGATTATTTTGATTTATTTTTGTGATTTTGGGGACCAATTTCGACGCTTTGAGAGCTGAAATTGCTTCGTAATTGGCGTAATTTCGACTAAATGCTCTCTTATCATGCTTTAAATTGATAATATTGCTCAATTTGAATTATTTTATCTCACTTTCAGTTGATTTCATTGCTTAATTATTGAAATATACACTCAAATAGGCAGAATTGATTGACGAATTTCAGATAATTAAGTAAAAATTGTCGTTTTTCAGTTGTCTTTTAAGTGCAATTTTGAATTTTTCCCGCAAAAAAATTATTTTCTGACTTGTTTTTATCCAAATCACTCGTTGCAACTTTGCTGTTTTTCTTATTTCATAATATTCGTAAAAATTACGAATTTTGTGTTGAAACAAGGCGTTGCAATGTGAAATTGTGACTTTATTTAATATGAATTTCAAAAGAAATCTTTTTTTTGTAACATTTTACTTGAAAATACTTTAAGAAATCCTTCAAATTTTCCCTGGAAAAATTATCGAAAGATATCCGGATAAACATAACCTCAATTTGTTGCATTAATTTGTACACAACCCAGTAAAAACAGTCCTATAGGAATCGTGCGGGATTCCTGCCGGATTTTCCTCTATCTCTGCTGTTTTCCACAGCGGAATCTTCCACCAAAAATCCGCTGTTTGTCGGCACGGATAGCGGAAATTTTGGCAGAAACTTTGGCGCTATTTACTGCTATTTATAATTATGTCCCGGAGGTTTTGGGTCTCGGGATTTCTCGGTGGAATTATAGAGGAAAATTGCGTTAAAATTCCACTAGGACAATTGCGGAATTTCACCGGATTTCCATGCCGAAATCACGCAAGATGATCCGTTGAAAAGAACCTTAAATGGCGAATTTGTACCGGATTTTCCTGCAGGAATCCTGCAGGAAAAAAAATTTTTTTTTGCCGAAATTCTCATTGCTTCTCAAGGATATCAATGTGAAATCATCGAAACAGTACAAATATACGCTTCTTAGAGGCTAATTTCCTCAATATTGAGGATAAAATGTGTGATTTTTTCCCCACCCACTTTTGACAGCTGCCATCTTGAAAGACAATCTCCGAAATATAGACAGTTTAGTCATTGCGGATTGCTATGCAAGATTCCATCACGAATCCTTAAGGTGAAAGCCCTCTTCCTGAGTGGCGGAGATGTCGATTGCACCGGGACGAAAGATTTGCCATGACGGATTATTGCTGGAATCTTGCGGGAGAATTCCACCGCAATTCCGGTATTTGAGAAAGAAGATACCGGAATTGCGGTGGAATTCTCCCGCAAGATTCCAGCAATAATCCGTAATGGCAAATCTGTCATCCTGGCGCTTCCAGCGTCTCAGCCTTTCAACTGTGAGGGAATTTGGCTGGAAGATTCCTGGTGGAATCTTGCAGGAAGCCTCCGGCGTTTTTCCGGCCTTCGGAAGAGGGAATTTGCCTGCAGGATTCATGGTGGAATCTTCCGGGGAGGCTTCCGGCGTTTTTCCGGCTTTCTAAATGAGAGATTCTGCCTTGAAGAATCGTGGTGGAATCTTGTGGGAGGATTCCAGCGTTTTTTCCGTCATTTAAATTGAGGGAATTTGCCTGCAGGATTCATGGTGGAATCTTGCAGGAGGCTTCCGGCATTTGTACGGCCTTTAAAGTGAGGGAAATTTGAATTCGGGATTCTTAGAGGAATCTTGCAAGATTCGTCCACCGTTTGTCTCCCCGTTTAGTGAAAAGGGATTTAGCTTTAAGGATTCTTAAGTGGAATCCCGCAGTGCGGAGTCCGTCATTTTCAGATGGCGGATTTGACGGTGGATTTTCCTGCAGGAATCCAGCAAAACATAATTTGGGCTCTGAAGCCAACATGATGGAAAAATCGGTGGAAAAACGGCGGATAGCGGATTTGTTTTTACTGGGAAATGCAATTTGTAAAAAAAAAATCTTGCAAGATTGCAATTCAAACGTTGACGTTTTGGCAAGAAAAGAACATAAAGAGATGAAAAATTCACGTGAAAAGCAAGGAAATGAAGAGAATTTAATACTCCAAATTGAGGTTATGTATTTCCAGACGAACTAATTCATTTCCCAAAGCATTTTGAAGTATATAAAAGTAACTTTTATGAATTGAAATGCAAAATTTGCAATATTGCAACGACCAATAAGATCATTTGAAGTATGAAAAGTTGATTTTTTTTGTACAAAATATAAAAAAATTCCAATAAATATCAATAAAATCATTAGAACAGAGTAATTTTAACACTTTTATGAATTGTTTAGAGTGTCTTTTGAGGTAAATTTGGCAAATTTTGCAGCATTTTCGACTTTCCACGCGATTTCCAAATCAACCCGCCGAAAAGTGTTTGAATGACGCGCGCGGAAAAAAGCACAAAAAGCTTTTCATGCCACAAATAGTGTTGTCCAAGAGTTGTTGATCTTTCGACCTATTCTAATCAATTTAGCCATTATCGATACGCATTTGATGGAATTTTTCCTCCTCCTTTGGTGATCATTTCATGATTGGCGCGCACAAATCTTGTCAAATAATTTCAATAGCGCGAATATAAAATGGTCAAAGTCACCCGAACTACGCAGTTTATCAAAGGCGTCAAAGAGAAAAGCAAGAAAAAAAAAGAATAACAAGTTGGATGTCCTACAATTTTTAAGGGGAGAAATTCCATTCAAAACATCGCACATCATTGTGATCATTAACGACAAATAGAATCGCACAATTGATTGCTAAATTGAATGTTGATTTGATTTATCATCGCGCACACAACAATCATTTCATTTCTTATGCTCATAACACATCCAAGGGGGAGATAAAAACGGTCAAACATCACTTCCTGTCACTTTCACAACATCAGCAGTGCTTAAAACATGAGTTTTCTTCCCATTTTCCGTGTCATAACCTCAAATTTAGAGCTCTTTCACTCAAAATAGACGCAATTTTTACTTTTATCAGCCTGAAAACTTGCAGAAAAAACAGTTTTTCAGATATATTTGAAATTTTAAGTGGATATTTTGTTGTGATTCAATTTTAAATCACTCTTTTGGATGCATTTTACATCATAACCTCAAAATTCTCTTCAGATATTTAGAAGAATCCTTGAAAAACAACTTATTCGGAATATTTAAAAGCAACTTTGGGGAATATTAATCTATTTTGAACTAGAAAATCTATCAAACAGCTCTTAAAATTGACAATTTTTGAGGTTATGATCAATGTTTAACACTGAAATCTTGTGATTTTCATCAGATTTCATTACTATTATGCTAGTAAATGCAAATTAAACCAATTTAGGCACAAGATTAAATTATTTTTGAGGTTATGATCAATGTTTAACACTGAAATCTTGTGATTTTCATCAGATTTCATAACTATTATGCTAGTAAATGCAAATTGAACCAATTTAGGCACAAGATTAAATTATTTTTGAGGTTATGATCAATGTTTAACACTGAAATCTTGTGATTTTCATCAGATTTCATCACTATTATGCTAGTAAATGCAAATTAAACCAGTTTAGGCACAAGATTAAATTATTTTTGAGGTTATGATCAATGTTTAACACTGAAATCTTGTGATTTTCATCAGATTTCATTACTATTATGCTAGTAAATGCAAATTAAACCAGTTTAGGCACAAGATTAAATTATTTTTGAGGTTATAATCAATGTTTAACACTGAAATCTTGTGATTTTCATCAGATTTCATAACTATTATGCTAGTAAATGCAAATTGAACCAATTTAGGCACAAGATTAAATTATTTTTGAGGTTATGATCAATGTTTAACACTGAAATCTTGTGATTTTCATCAGATTTCATCACTATTATGCTAGTAAATGCAAATTAAACCAGTTTAGGCACAAGATTAAATTATTTTTGAGGTTATGATCAATGTTTAACACTGAAATCTTGTGATTTTCATCACATTTCATTACTATTATGCTAGTAAATGCAAATTAAACCAATTTAGGCACAAGATTAAATTATTTTTGAGGTTATGATCAATGTTTAACACTGAAATCTTGTGATTTTCATCAGATTTCATAACTATTATGCTAGTAAATGCAAATTAAACCAATTTAGGCACAAGATTAAATTATTTTTGAGGTTATGTAGTCTTTATTTAATGACATAACCTAGAAATGATCTAAATTTTGCGCTAATTTATGTTTCAATTGAACTTTCAACAAGGAAATATTAACTCACTTCCACTTCAAATTCAACTTAAAGGCTAAAAAACAGTTTCCTAAGTAAAATGTGAGGTTATAAATTGGTTTAAAAATATTTTAAAGTCAAATTGAGGTAAAATAATGCAGTTTATTTGCTCACAATCGCCGAATATTGCTTGAAATAATAAATATTCACTTTCACTTTTCATCTACACAACTTCCAACCACAATATCTCCCCCTTTGCTGATGAAATCAAAGTCAAGTTTGATGAAGAAAAACACTTTTTTTTCTTGTTCACATCAAAAAATCTCATTTTAACTGCCTTAAAATCCCTTTTTTTTGCACTCTTCTCTTCACTAACTTTTCACGTTTTGTGTGTGTTCTTTAAGAATGAAAGAAAGAAAAAGGGAGTCGATGGGATGGAACGGATGTGGGATGAAGTGAAGAAGTGGTAATTACCTTATTCACGATTGATGCGCCGTTTGATGTTGAACAGAGAGCCAGTCCAATTAGCAGAAACAGACACAGTGGCAATTTCTCCATTTTATTTCTGGTAAAAAAAGTGCAAAAATTTGCAGAAGAACACCAAGAAGAAGAGCTTGTACACTAATTAAGAAGAATTTTAGTGTGCGAAAGACTTTCAATAATTGTTCCAAAAACAAACAAACAAAACGAAAAAAAACACTTTTCCTTCTTGTTTTTCTCTAAGAAAAAAAATCCGAACTAATTTTCTTATATAGATAAATGTCTCTTCTCTTCCACAAAAAACCACAATATATCTTTTGAATATTTGACGACAAAGTGTTGACGCGGTGGCCAAAGTGTGGTGTTGTGTGTGCGACTTGAGGAACAGAGAGAGAGAGAGAAGAGCAAGTGTATCAAAAGCGACAGACAACTTGTGAATGAAGATTTCTGTTCCGTGGCTTTGAATTTATAAGCGGCGTTATTGCTGCGAACTTCGTTGTCGTTTCGCCTTCGTTTTGTCTTCATCTGTGTGTGTGTGTGTGTGTGTTTGTTTGTGTGCCTCTTGGAGGGGGAAAAAACATCATCAACACATCTTCATTGGAATTCTCCTCTTTATTTCATTACACACACGCAACAAAACATAATAACTATATATAGGCATATAATATGTATAAAAAATTCTACGAAAAACTACGCCTATAATTTCATTTGAACTAATTTTCCCACCTTCACCCCCTCTCTCAGCTCAATGTCCCCCCCCCCCCCACTTTAACGACACACGCTGATCTTCTGTCTCACTTCAGCAGCACGCAAAATACTATCAATCCATATTGATATGTGTGTGATTAAGGGGATTTTTGGGGACATAAAGAGCAATTTCAATTCATAAGATTTCACTGAATGAACAGAGAAAAAGCCTCAAGAAGAGCCGTTGAAGCGACAGATGTCCTGATAATCCGTTAAAAGACAAGCAGATGGTCGTAATTCTGTCGTTAAACGATATTTTTTTAACGAAGGGTGCTTTTTTCCCCTTCTAAATTGAGAATTCTATGGAATAAAAATGATAAATGATTTTTCATGTTGATGGGTGAAGTCAATTTATCATAGTTTTCGTCTTATGTATTTTTGAAAAACTTCTTATTTGTTCTTTCTGTACAAGAATCTTGAGATTTCTTTCTTATAAGACAACAGCAAAAAATCTTATTTATCTAAAAAGCACAAATGGAAATAAAATTGTCATGTTTTGCGAATGAAAAGTCGAATTTTCATTGTTTACGCTGAAGAATTTTCCCATAAGAAAAATGTCTCAAAAATTGCAGTCAAATGCATTAAAAAGTCTTTTTAGAAAATATTTGTAGATTTTCAGAATTATCCTAAAATGTTTTTTTGGACTTTAAATGAATTTTTCTCATATCTTTTAAATTTTTTCACTTGAAAACATTAAGAAAAAGTTCATTTGAAGTATGAAAAGTTGATTTTTTTGTATAAAATCGACTCAAAAACCATTAAAAATCGACTTTGAAAAGTAATATTTTCAGTTTTTTTATTAATTTTGCCACATTTTAGTGAAAAATTTCAATAAATATCAATAAAACATTTACAAAATAAAAAATACAGAGCAATATTTTCACTTTAACGAACAATTTGAAGGCATTTTGAGTATTTTGAAGTAAATTTGGCAAATTTCGCAGCTGTTTTAATGTAAAAATTTTGAACTCGCTTTGCTGAAAAATGGCGATTTTGACTTTTGATAGTTTTCGAGGCACCCGTCGAAACATAACCTCAAAAATATCACTAAGAGATCTTAAAAGACTCCAATTAGAAGCTTTCTAGATGATAAAATAGTCGCTAAACTGAAAAATTTTCTGATTCAGAGTCAAAATCTACGCAAAAATTGCCTTATTTTTTCCGTGTCATTTTATTTCATTTTATTTTTGACTCATGAAATCTGTTCCTCGCGATATTAAAAGGATTAGAGGGACATTAGGACACAATTCCTAATGGAACTTAGAAGCAGACATGACGGAATTCACTAAAAAATGCTGAACAATTGGTCGAAAAAGTTATTCGCGACACTTTTTCTGCGAAATCGATCCTTTTTACGCGGTCAATTGCGCTCAAAACTGTCTTGCTGGGATAAGAGGTCCTTCTGGTCATCTCCCTGATTAAATATCCTTTCTTGCGCAGTTGGAAAATCTCCGCACGATGATCTGGAGTCGTGTATTGTTCACTCCCCATAATTTGATATTCACTTAATCAAATTTTGATATCGAACACTTATAAAGTTCAAATAAAATGTTAAAATCGACAGGACAATTATCCTGAAGACACCTCAGATACATTTAAACCTTATTAAGAAACCAAAACATATTTATATGGACAAGATTCAAATATTACTCAGGGGGTCCTATTCAAATTGTAAGGCTAATTTCGTTCAGTTTTGATATCATAAAGGGATGAAGGATTAAGCCGAATGTCTTCAAACTTGGCATGATCATTACTTGTTAATGAGAGAATATTAGTGGAAAAATTCAGATCTTTAGCCCAACGTGGAAATTCGCGGCACATCGATATGTCTCAGAGCCTCCGGGGGTCCTATTCGATTTGGAGTCACTGTACGATCGTTGAACGACTCTGAATTCCGGCTAAGATTTTTTTTATCTTTATTTATATCTCTTCTAGGTTATTTAAGTGGAATTTACTGTGATTTTTGTAGAAATTAGAACAAATTTTCGCATTTTACTCACTTTTCACGGACATTTCTTCCTGCAAAATTGATCAAAAACGTATTTTATTGTCTTCATGAAACAATTTCACAGCCGTTTTTCCTCGAATTCTTAGAGACAGTCGGAAAACAACCTCAAAATTGTCTCCGCGCGCGCGCATCAGACAATTTGGAGGTTATAAAAAGGTTTTAAAAAATTGCATCTTGTGAATCAAAAATATTCTACTTTCACAGGCAAATTTGCCAAATATTATCCAATTTATTGGACATTCGCTCACTCAATTGGTTATCTTAGTTTTTTTCTCAGAAATAAATTAAGTACAAATGCTAATTGTTCACAATTCCCAGAAAATTCGTGACATTCCTTGATAATTATTCTTCGTACAATTAAAAATTAGACCTTGAGGGGGAATTTAAGAGTTTTTTTCTAACTCTCAGTTGTCCATTAAAAAAATCACATAATTTCAGCATAATTCCATTGCAGAGCTTTAAAAAAAACGGCGCAAATCTAGTGCAAATGCAATCACAAGAAGCTGCGTGAGTTTTCTATAGTTTTGTGGGTTTCTCAACAAGTGAATTTTTGGGTGACGATAAGAGACCAAATAAAGGTCAACTCTCAATTACCAGTGTTGGGGTGAATTTTTTACATTTTTACTTTTACACAATTCTTTACATGGTAAAAAATGTTTTCTTTACACACAATTTTTTCTTTACATGTAAAGAAAAAATGTAAAATATGAAAATTGGGTTCAATTTTTCGAATTGAACAATATTCGTTAATATCGGGAAATTTACTTCAGGCGTTTTTTTTTCTTCCATGAAGCCCAAAATCATGAGAAGAGTTTTGTGAATTTTACATCCTCATTTCGACGGGTGCCTCGAAAACTATCAAAAGTCAAAATCGCCATTTTTCAGCAAAGCGAGTTCAAAATTTTGGCATTAAAACAGCTGCGAAATTTGCCAAAATTTACTTCAAAATACTCAAAATGTCTTCAAATTGTTCGTTAAAGTGAAAATATTGCTCTGTATTTTTTATTTTGTAAATGTTTTATTGGTATTTATTGAAATTTTTCACTAAAATGTGGCAAAATTAATAAAAAATCTGAAAATATTACTTTTCAAAGTCGATTTTTAATGGTTTTTGAGTCGATTTTATACAAAAAATCAACTTTTCATACTTCAATTGAATTTTTTCTTAATGTTTTCAAGTGAAAAAATTTAAAAGATATGAGAAATATTCATTAAAAGTCTTGAAAAACATTTTAGGATAATTCTGAAAATCTACAAATATTTTCTAAAAAGACTTTTTAATGCATTTGACTGCAATTTTTGAGACATTTTTCTTGGAAAAATTGTACAGCGTAAATAATGAAAATTCGACTTTTCATTCGCAAAACATGACAATTTTTTCCATTTGTGCTTTTTAGATGAAAAGGATTTTTTTCTATTTTCTCATAAGATAAAAATCTTAAAATTCTTGTACAGAAAGAACAAATAAAAAACTTTTCAAAAATAACATAAGACAAAAACTATGATAAATCGACTTTTCATAGTTTTCCATTCACCCGTCGATTTAGACAATTAATATCAAAATGTGCAGACAGATTTCTCGGTTAAATGGTTCTTTTTGGTCCATGTGAAGATGATTTCTGAAGAGCCGTTTTTAGTTCGGAATTGACCATCGAAGCATATCCTGCGGGCGTCTATGGGGTTCCTGGGATGTCCGAAGCTCTTGTCAGAAGACTCAAGTGTGCTTAAAGTGGTTTTTATTCGCCAAAAAACAACGGAATGAAGCAATCGGCATGAAAATCGTCTTCTCTTGCCCAAAATCTAAGAATGAAGTTTATAAAATGCGATCCGACATTCCATAGACCTGTCCATTGCTGAATGGACATTCTTCTTCCTTGCTTGGTATTTTCCCCGATTGTTAATCGGCAGCAGAAGCACCTCGAAAAGAATACAAAAATATACGTTCAATTTGCAAATTTTCTTGTAAAATCTAGAGTAAAACTTCGATATTCCATCAAATAAATGTATTGGAACATCAGTTGTTGAATTATTAACTTACCTTACTCAATTATGCCAACAATTTGCAGATTTTCCTGAGTTTTCACTGTTTCTTTACAATTTTGCGACTTCTCGGCGTGAATGTGACAAAAAAGTATTTTCATTGCTATTTCACAGGAATTCCATGGGAATTCCACGGGAATTTCAGTAGTTTTTTTTTTAACTTCAGAAAAGAATATTTTAACATTTTACATGACATTTTACATTTTACTTTACATTTTACATTTTTTTTACACATTCTTTACGTGTAAAATGTAAAGAGGTATTTTTTACCATGTAATGACACAACACTGTCAATTACTAATGAATTACAATTTGAGGCACTTGTGCGTCCCTCTCTTGATTGCACATTGCTCTCAGCTCTGCCACATGGCATTAGGGCATCTCGTGATTTGGGCTGATTTTGTCTGAGGTCTCCGCACGTCAATCCCTCCACACGCGAGCTGATTGGGTGGCCTTATCGGCCCAGAGACGAAGATTCTGGCCACATAACAACTATCATCTGGTGGGTGATTAGGAGCTGGCGAAGTCAGTGGACAGGATGAGTGTGAGGGAATCATGACGAGAGTCACGTTAGTATCACGTTTTGAAATTATGCCGCGCGTGTATGCAAACAAGGCAAAAGTTGGAGGCTCGATGGTGACTCTCTTTCTCCATTGCACGATGCCAATCATCTCTTCATGAGACAAGTCATGAGATTGATGATATGACACACTCAAGGGGGCGATAATATAG